AGACTGGTTGCCAACCCTATCTGTACTTTGCTAAAACACCTTGTACAATATTTCGCTGTTCTACGTCAAACCCAAATAAAATAACTTACAGTCAACCTACTGTGCCGGGCTAGATAATTTTTTTTTCCAAAATTTATCTTAAGTATCTATAAGTCTATCATTCAATATTTCTGCCCCCTAAGGCCCGTTTCTCCTGCAATATATTTAGAGATTCTTGATAAAATCCAAAGACAAATCAACAATATTATTGTTCCTGACTTAATGGCAGTCACTTTTCCAGTTGCTTCCCTGTGTCTTTTCTATAAATACTTTCATGGTAATTATTCAGATGGGCTCTTAGCTATTATTCCTGCATTTAGTTAGTCCAGTTAACTGATGTTTCTGTCATATTTAAGGATTGTGGGGAGTTTTATTAATAATTTTATTTTGTTGGGTTTCTTGTAAATAGTTATTTTTTCATATTGTAAGTACACATTGGGTTTAGATTTTAAATTTTTGTTATTTCCCCCATCCACAGGGAATGAATTGTACATATAGGGACTAGTTAGAACTTCATGGAGTTTCTGAAGCATTATGGTGGATGATGTAAGAATGGTAAGCAAGAATGCGTTGTTTTGGTGTAAGGAATATTGTATGTTTGGGTCAGTGTTTGTAGCTAGCTAAGTTAAACGTTAAGACAGAAGAAAACTGTCCTTTCCCCTTTCTTGACCTTTTACCACATTTTGTAAATAGTACAGATAAATAATGCTCTTCGCTATGGTACCTAGACTTTATGAATTTAAGCGCAGTACAAGAGAAAATAGCAGTAGTTAACGTAAGTGAATGTAAGGAACCCGACTGGAATTCGAACACGGCTCTTCAATTTTCATTCCGAGACATTATCCTTTGCCCCAAATTCACTTGTGTTCTAATGTTCAGATAAGATTTCTTCAGGCTTGGTGGAAGATTTCTCCAGAGAAGTTGACTCGATTGAAAAAACAAAACAAAAAAAGCCCATTTCCTAAGTTTGGCACATTTGTGAGGGATAGTGCATAAAAACAAACTAGCTGAAATTCCTAACCATTTGAGCCTCGCGTTTCTAAACAATTTTAACCCTTCTGCCCGAGCTCCCGAGTCAAAATTCGCAAATAATTGGTATGTAATGTTTCACGGTAGATATAAAAACTCCAACGGACAAAAATTCCAGCCTCATAAAAAAAAAAGTTTTATATATAAACAGAAACAAAGAAATCGATCTTTCTTGAACATATAAGTGTGAATTAGGATGAACTGTAAATCAAATATGGATCGGGATCAGACAGAATCTTAGAATAAAGAATAAATAGGAACCATTTATTAATCTAAAATGTTTCACTTTTATTAATCATTTGAACACTGCCTTCCTGAACAATTTTAAATTCTCTGCCTGAAAACATACATTCGGAAGAGAAGCGGACACTTAAATCTTGAAATGACATGGTTATTAAAATTCTAAGTTGTCTGAATATCTAATCTGAATAGTATATTAATTATTATAAGTTTTTGGCATTAAGATTATTTATAGTCAGAAAATATTTTTAAATTCTAAGAATTTATTTTTGGAGACAATGGTTTCGTAATACAAGTCTTACTAATTAACCCTTTGATCTCCGCGTCCTTGAACAATCTTAAACTTTTCTGCCTGAGCTCCTGAGTCAAAATTCGCAAATGATTAGTATGTAATATTTTACGGTAGATATAAAAACTCCAGTAGGCAAAAATCCCAGCCTCATAAAAAATGTCTTATATATAAACAGAAACAAAGAAATCGATCTTTCTTGAACATATAAGTGTGAATTAGGATCAAATGTAGATCAAATATGGATCGGGATCCGACAATGTTAGAATAAAGAACAAATAGGAACCGTTTATCAATCTAAAATGTTTCACTTTTATTAATCATTTGAGCTGTGCGTTCCTGAACAATTTTAACCTTTCTGTCTGAGCTCCTGAGTCAAAATTCGCAGAGAATTTGTATGTAATGTTTCACGTTAAATATAAAAATAGTTACAAGTGTTTACTCACCGTTCATCCGGTGGCTGGGCATTAAGTCATTTTTTTTCTACCACTGTTTAACCGGTGACTGGACATTACGTCATTTTCTCGACCACCGGTAAAGCGGTGGTCAAGGCTCAAAGAGTTTAGACGTATTTCTTACACAATGTATTGCAGGCGATAGATAATATCTTCGCTTTACTAATTTGTTTATTTTTTTTATAAAACCGCTAATGCTTCGTGTGAGATAAAGATCTGGAAGTTCTGTTTTAATGTTGCTTCATGTAATATAGGGAAATAATTGCGCAGGTACCGTAACGGTTAGCGGCGCTAAAAAATAGAAACGGCGAACGGAATTCAAATCTATCCTCGTCCGATAAAGTTCAACTCCGTACAAATACTTTTTGGAAAGGTATGCATTCATTTCTTTCCCGTCCCACCCATAGCTATATGAAGCTTACGACCATACCACGTTGAAACACCGATTCCCGTACAATTACCGAAGTTAAGCAACGTCGAGTCTGGTCAGTACCTAGATGGGTGACCACTTGGGAATGCGAGATATCGTAAGCTAGGATGTGCGGGTGGTATGTGAGCTTACGGACACATCACGTTGAAACACAGGTTTCTGTACGATCACCGAAGTTAAGCAATGTCGAGCTTGTTTAATACCTAGATGGGTAACCGCTTAGAAATACCAGGTGCTGTAAACTGGTGTGATGGATAATGACTCGGAATTGTTAATCGGAGAGCCGAGTTCCAGTCCTAGCCGATTTCGTTACAATCAACTGCGAGCAAATACCCTTACGAAAGGAATGATTCCCCATTTTCTCTCACCTGGCCATGGGTTAGTTAGTAGGACTTTTATCAGTAGGTTGTTATTAATACCTAAATATATCCGATTTCACTTTGGTTCATGAAATTCACTTAATTGCAAATAACTTTTAGAAATATATGAATGCACCTCTTCTATATCCAACTATGGGTTAATTATTAGAAATTATATCAGCAAATCATTATTATATGCAAAATATTCGTACAATTCAAAAAATATTTTCTGGCTTTAAATAACCTTCAAAAAGGTCGACAAGCCTTAAACAACAAATCAATCGATCAAACATAGCTATATCTCCAATAGCAGGATAAACGGGTTGCTTTAACCTTGCGTGGTAGCCAGTTTAGGAGAAGAACAATCCTGAACACAACAACTTGGAGAATACAAAGGGTAAGCACTGCACAACCTTTTGGAAAATACTATGCCAATACACGGATAATAAAAAGTAGGAATGTATAAAAGCCATAACTGCTTACGTTCTGACGGTCCATGGCATGCAAACAATACTGGACATTTTCTTTTAATGTAATGGGAAAAGAGGGCTTCGAGAATCTGATACTCACATGTCGAACAGAGGGAAAGAGAGACAAGGGAAAGCAACGGATGACATACCTGGTGGGTTTAAGCAAGTGGATGACAGAACATAGTCTGGGGGAGGTGTCATAGGGACGAAACTTATTGAGAGCTAGAAGGGATAAGTGGAGAGCCATGACCGCTAACGTCCTGAAGAGACACGGCACATAAAAAGAAAGAAGGGATACATGCAAGGAATAGAGACAGGAAATATTTTGCTAAACCTTATTTACAGTCCTGTTTTCGACGACGTTTCAAAATCGACGTCAAAGACAACTATATTTCGATTTATGCAATCAGTCCAGAAAAAGCCCGACCTTTCCTCCCTCCCTCTCACTCACTCATCTTTTCTTCTTCCTTTACCAACTAACTCAGATTCAGTTCTCGTCTCACAAACCCCCCTCCCCGACCTGCGTCCTACTCGAGCAGATAACCCAGGTCAGATGCGCGTATGCTTTTTGGAAGGGTCAAGAGCGTCGTTTAAACAAAGACAGTGGTTGGGTAAGCGGCAGAGCGTTTGATCTGCACCTCCTGACACATACCTATGACACTGACGGGGCTGTTACTGTCATGGTTAATTCCATACATATTCTGACCTTCCTTTTGCTCCACAGAATCCCACTGGTCAACGTCACTCTCTTCGTCAACGCCGCTCGAAGAGAAAACAGCATTACTATTTCATTATTTTCCTTTTTTTTTTGTTTTGTTTTGTTTTGACCTCGTCTGGACATCTTCCTCTCTTCGCAATTGAGTCTTTTCGAAGCTATCCTCTCTCTCTCTCTGTTGGTCCCTAAAGAGATTGCTTGTCGGAGAAGAAGCGTCGAGACCATATTAGAAACAATACACAAAAGGCTTGCAAAACTGCTGGTAATTCTTTCAAGAGAATAAACCAAATATCGTATCTTAGCTTCCTTCTTTTCTCCACCCCTTCTATCTCCCTAACGCCCAGCCCTTCAGTCTTTACCTCTAACCAACAGCACTAAACATACCTTTTCAACGTCCATATGGTGTCCCTTTTAATCCTGATGCATATCTAATTATCTCCCCTTCCTTTCCTAAAACATTTACAGTCATTTTAAATAAGTTCTACGTACATATTCCAACACTGAATATCTGCAAGGGCGTCAGTTTATCATCATCAGACTATCTCACTTTATATATATATATATATATATATATATATATATATATATTATTTATACGAAAATTATAACAGAGATATGTTATAAAATCACTACAAAAATAGACATTTTGTTTCAACACTTCTGGTGTCTTACCAAGTGATGGTGTTGAATGTAGAATGGAATTTATTCCGTATACATCAATCTATATATATATATATATATATATATAAATTAATTGATTTAAAAATATGTTTTTAATTACAGTTCTAACCATGTTTCAAAAAATGAAAAAAGCCCCGAATATAATTTTGCAAAATTAAATTCGAGGCTTTTTAGCTTCTATTTTTGAAACATGGTTAGAATTGTGTAGCGGAAAAAAAAACATATTTTTAATCAATTAATTTATAATATTAATGCTCTGTAAATTTACATTGAGCACTATTTTGCAAAAATAAAAATATCTATAAGAACACCGGATTATATATCTTACTGTTCTTTCTTTCTTTCTTTATATATATATATATATATATATATATATATATATGGTTCTCTGAGCCAAAAGAGTGACTGGACTGTCTACGCACTAAGAATCTCGACTAACAATCCATGAATCGACAAAAATACGTCTCGTCACTAACATCTCATGCATTTTAACACAGAAAAAATAAAAAAAGGAAAGAAAAGAACATATAGCCAGTCTCATTATAATATATATATATATATATATATATAAACATTTGTCAGTCGGCTGCAGAAAAAATCCATTCTCCCAACATATTCAACCATGGGGTGTAACAGGTCTTACATTTTAACGGTGACCCATGACCTTTTGGTAGATTGTTTGAATTCAAAGTTGTCCATTATCTTGTCTGGTTGCCCCTACTAACGCTAGAATATCCCAGTCTGCCTGACTGTTTTACACATATACACGGACAGGAAAGACATCCCTAAATATATTTATACTAGCAGCTATATTGATATTTCTTTTAACTAAAAAAAAACAACTAAACACATTCATAGATAAATAAGGAAAGAAATGTTTCGATAAACCATCGAATAATGTCATTTTGTTGTTAAATTTGAAAAAAAAAAATAGTTTGCTCCCCGCAAATGAGTCGACAATATAACAGCTCAAAAGATTGTTTCGTTTCCAGAGAATTCTTCGAATTAGTTCCCTTAGCCATCAATCTAGAAATCTAAGTAATGTTAAAGGTTAAATATCTGCACTACAGTTGTTAGCTTGTGTTGTTCAAATTCCGTGAATTTGGGGGTATCACCTTGAATCCCTAGAAATTGGGGATCTCTTCTAATCTAAGAATAATACAGAAAGATAAGGATAGTAGTCATATGGGTATTGGGAAAGTATCTTTTTTGGGAGTCGATTCCACACGTTAGAGGCCCGTGGAAAGAAATCGTTCAAGTGGAACTTATTTATCACTACTAGAATATAAGGGGAATGAGGGTGGGGTCTGCTACAGTGTAAATGGAATGACGGGTCCTACCTGTGAGGATCTGAACTGACAGAACTAGAGAATGTAGCTTGTCTGACATTTAACTCATTTTTTTGGCAAAATACTGTTTTATATATATATATATATATATATATATATATATATATGTGTGTGTGTGTGTGTGTGTAAACAGTAAAGTCAACACTTAGAGATCATATCTTATTCATAAAAAGGATACAAAAGTATCACTACGATTAAAATTTTAGGTACGTTTCGGCTGACACATCTTCAGAAAAAATAATATCGTCGGCAAATAAAAATAAGTGGTTGAAAAGGAAAAGCATATACCAAAACAAGAAAAGGGAACAAAAAAAATGTATATTTTCCTAGTTAGGCGATGAATTGGCAACCGACTCCCGGAACAAGGCCAACTGGTATTTAAATTCTCTCCGTCTACACAGGGTGGGACGTTGTATGTTAATAACAACAGACACCAAGATGTCAAAGTGGTGACTGGTACGTGCCCTGTGTAAGACAGAGGAAAACTCCGATGAATAATTTCAATTGTTGTGTTAATTTTGTATCCTTTTTTTATGATTAAAATATAATCCCTTCTTTAAAGATCATTTTATCCTGGCGTGTCAATAATAATAATAATAATAATAATATATATATATATAAAAATGGTGGTACTCGTTTGGAAAAACCTCGGATAGCTAAACTTGCAGTAGAACAAATCGGTACCCGAGGAAAAATGGGGAATAAAAAAAGAACCAAGAACATTAAACCAAGGCGAAAACAATCGTCCATTGTTTAAGCTCCGAGTTCAAAGAAAAAAAAAAACGAGTAAAAAGACAACTACGTAAAGTGCTCAATACACAAAGTAGAGCAAAACGTAAGATAATCCTAAAGAACAAGGCAAATCTACATAGGTTTCACCTAAACGGATCCGTTTAGGTCAAACTTATGTAGGTTTGCCTGGCCCCTTTGTATTATCCATATATATATATATATTACACCCACACACGTGTGTGTGTGTTTTGTTGAATGATATAGAAATATTATGTCTGTCTATTTTTGTAATAATCCTTTGTAGTTCTCTAATTGTCTTCCCGTTTTTAAGTTGAAATTCATCAAGAAGGGCGCTGTAGTTCTTGTAAACCCAAGTACTTTCGATCTCCTCCGAGATCATCCTCAGGGGTGAATGGCGAAGACAAACTTAATGTGACTTCAACTTTCAGCTCGTCAAGAAAATAATTAGAGAACTAAGAAAGATTGTTGTAAAAATAAATATACATATGTCTATATTATTCAATGAAACATGCCTGAAAAGATATCTGCAGCAATCCCCCTGGCTACTTTGTCTAACGTTGCCCAAGTAGTAGTTCGCCATGCTAATAAATGTCTGGAAGCTAAAGACAACCATTTTGAGCATCACTTGTGATTATAATGTCCAAATGTAACTTCTATAAAGCTCTTTTTGTCTGAATAAATTTAGTATTGCAATACCTATTCAGGTTTAGTCTTTCCTAAATTACATATACATTTTTTGGCGGATTCTCTATAAATGGCGGTGCCTGACTTATATATATATATATATATATATATATATATTTGATGCATGTTTCATTAAATAATATAGACAAGTTTTGTCTATTTATTTTAAGTAAGTTCCTTTCATATTGTCTGATAAGCTTAATAACATTATCATTGAAAGACGAAAGGAAATCACCATATTGATAATATTTTCAATATATCAACCAATACATGGAAGGAAACAATAATGGTAGTCTGTTTTTGTTGCATTAAAAATTTCAAAGCAACGACTAACTCGTTTGTACGAGACGTGGAAGCGAAAATCGCGTCGCAGTTCGTGACGTCACACATGACCACGCGAGAGTGAAAACGAGAAGTATTAAGTATGGGAAGCCGTTGGTATAAACCAATGGCTTCTGTTATCAATTATAGGCATTTAATTATATTTGTGGAGATTTCATAGTTTTTGTTCAGGTTAGGTTTCAACTGTTTTATGTATATAGCTTCAAGAATTTTTATTTTTTTCTTTGTTTTCATGTTTAAGTATAGTTGCATTTTCAACAAGGATTTTTCCGGAAGTGTGTATGCGGCCAGGCATGTTGTTTTAAATGCCTAAAAATGTTAGGGTTATCATTCCATTTCCATTCGGACAATATGAAAGGAACTCATTTAAAATAAATAGGCAAAACTTGTCTATATTATATCATGAAACATGCATCAATGAAAAGTTGCTACCTAAATATACATAACATATATGGTTTTTCATCCTTAACATGGAAATGTTGACAATAGAAGATTTACGTTCGGATTTTTGGTTAGATTTTGTGCCACGTGAGATATATAACTGAAGGACTTTGTTGATTCTTTTCACTTAGAATTCTTTTTTCTTTTTTTTACTGCTCGTCCTGATTTTTTATGCATTTTTTTCGTTCTTAGGTAACTGTTGAGTCTTTGAATGTTCCATTTTCCTCAATGTACTTTTGTTTTCCTTCATAATTGTTAACAACCTATGCTCCTTCTGTCTTCTTTTATCTTGCTTTCTTTCTTTCTTTCATTCATTCATTTTATTCTTCTGTTCTATTGTTTTGCTACTAAACTTCTTCAAGTTTTCTTATTTTCTACCTTTTTTTATACTTCACCTTATTTTTCCTTCCTTCTCATTTTCACTTTGTATTTAAGCCTTTTCCCTTCGCCGCCATCTTTTCCTCTTTCAATTCTTCCCCGCTTTTTCATTTCTTTCATTCATTTTCTTTCTTACTTTCCCAGTCCGCCTCCTATCTTTTTCTATAGCATCTTCTTTTTTTTTTATTCTTTTTTTTCCAACTTTTCTCCTTTCTATCCATTTTCTTTTTTACCGCCATCTCTTCTCTTTATTCGCCATCTTTATCTCTTTCCATTCTTTCCCGCACTTTTTTCTTCTTTCTTATACACCTTTTCACGTTTCTTTTATTCATTTTATTCCTTTCTCGTTCTTTTTTCCGTTGGTTTATTTGTTTTCCTTTTTTTTTCCAGTTTTCTTCTCTTTTACTTACTCACACCCACAAAATCACACCCTCTCTAACAAGATTTCTCTACTTAATTTTTCTCTCGATCTATTGTTTTTCCGTTGCTCTCTTTCTGTTCCTCTCATTTTTTTTTCTTTCCATTCTTTCCCGCGCTTTTTACCTCTTATCACGTTCCTTTTATTCATTTCTATTCTTTTCTCGTTCTCTTTTTTATGATTTTTTTTCTCAATACTCTTCTCTTACTTACTTACTTACACAAACATGCACACATTCTCTTCCAAGACCTTTCCACTTATTTTTTTTTCTCTCTCTTTATCTATTGTGTATTTCCGTCTGTCTGTTTCCCGCGTCCCGACCTTGTTTTCCAATCTTCCTAATACTCTTCCGCAGATATGCTGGAATGGTACAAAGAGGGATTGAACCGACTAAAAACTGATTCGGATATTAACGTTGAACCCGAGGCCGGAGAAATATTCGGAAATGTGTTGGAGACGTCGCGTGCTTGGCAAGGTCTTTGTCTTCTCAATCACGTGATTCATTTGTTGTTTAACCTCATCACAACTATTACCATTAACCTTTTTATTGACCTTTTATCTTATTTTTGGCTCTCTTCTCTCTACCTCTTTCCCCGATTTTATTTTTTTAAATTTTTTTTTAAAACCTCTGTCTCAATTTACACTATTTACATTGTTAAGACTGCTGTCCTCATCTTTACTGTCATATTCACGCCATTTTGGCCGTTGTACGCTCCGGCCTTCTACAGGATCTGTTTATATTTCTGAGATGAGGTAACTATTTACGCTATACGGATTTGTCCTCATCTTTATTGCGATATTCATGACGTTTCGGCCGTTGTACTCTCCGGCCTCCTTCTGGTGTCATACGTTGGAATTTCGAACCGAACCGTTTATTTAGTCCATGGGGGCAGATTGTTCTCGTTCCACGTGCCATGCCCTTTCTGGATATATCAGTTTCAGTTATCTTCGTTTACTAAATGAATTCCCCTTGATTTTTTTTTTTTTTTTCACTTCTGCCGTAGACGAAGACAACAGTCCGACCAATGTAAATAGTGTAAACAGTTACAATAGCTCATCTCAGAAACATAGAAAGATCTCTCTATCACCGTTTCTTCATGTCTATCCAGCTCTTATCTATCGATATTTCCCTGACATGTGTTCTTACGAGATCTATTCCTTGGATCCATCAGCCCTGGCCTTTCTAACTGGGGCCCGTGATGCTACGGCCACGAGGATGAACTATCCTCATTCCATTAGTAAGGAGGAAGTTCCACACGGACAGCGTCTTGTGGAACAAACTGCCGGCAGGATGTTTTCCCTATCATTACAATCTTGACCTCTTCAAGTTTAGGGTTAACAGTTATCTTCCTGCATGATCTCATGAACTTCACATCTTGCCTTTTCTTACGCTCATGTAATACCATATATTTACACTCTACTTTGAGTGGCTCTTGGGCCATCTATTAGGTGACCATTAGTATTAAAAAAAAACCTCATACATCTCTTTAACTTTCCGATTTTGACATTAGATATAATATTTGAATCAATAAGAATGTCGGCTCGGCTGAAAAGTTCATAGGATGGCCAAGATAGAAATGTAAGTAGACACACCACTTGTTAAACTAGAAAAGATGCACATGTACCAGAATGCAACAGCTGGCCGACCTGTGGGTCTATTGACATTTATATCTTGGTTAGCCGATGAACTTTTAAGCCGAACCCTCATTTTATATATATATATATAGTCTGTTAACGTCTCTTTCTTTCACACCTTCTTGCTACTCAATGTTCTTTTATTTTCTCTTTCGTTAATCATATCTTTTTAGTCTATATTTCTTTCTCTCTCACTTTTACCTTGCATCTTTTTTCTTGTGTGTCTGACACTTAACTAATATCACTATTATGTCAGGAAACATGGCTGGATGTGTCATGGCTTGTTTAATTTGCCGGTTGCACACCGTAAACGTTGTTAAACAGTAACCGATAAATAAGGGCACTAAAACAACCAATTCATGAAATAAGGAGCATCTCACGAATGCAGGCTATATTTACGAAAGCCGAAGAACAATTTTTAGAATAGTAAATACGAAGGTATTATCTCAGTCAGTTCATGAAATGGTAATGGCAAAGCTTGAAATTTAAACACTGTTCTCTTCTGTTAAAATCTCTCTTTTTCTCTCCGACCCAGTTATTCAACTGGTGTTAATTCATTCATATATCCATCTCAGCAGATTTCTAAATATCAGTCCCAGTGTGTTAAACTCTTTTTTCTCATTCTCCTCCAAACTCTGTCGATTTCCTTACCGTTCGCTGCAAGTGAAAGTTATCGCCCCAGACAGGCCATCGATATTTGCTAGCTTAAAGCTTCACAATCTTCCAAATCCTTTGTCGTCGTTAACTTGAGAAATTTGATATACCTTTGTGGTATATGTCTCTGTTTTTCTGTCTGTCTTTCGTTATAGCCTCGTTTTGAATAAATCTCGCTATAGCCTCGTTTTGAATAACATTTCTTTAGACTCGTGAACAATTATTGTGTGTAGTTAGATTTTGTATTGAGTTTTTTAAACATATGTTTGCCTTAGTCTAAACATGTTCGCATGTCTGTTTTTGTAGACGCTTTTTTTCATTAAAAAACTTTGTTTTTTATATGCAATTACCGCATTATATCAGTTGTTTAAAAAGATTCTAAATTCTTAAAATAATTGTAGAATTTGAAAGATATCTTTTTAATTGTCTTTTTTGTAAGGCATTGTGAAACTTATCCTTTCAAGTAGTTTTCTTCATCTGCCTTGATTTAATCACAAATTCTGGACCGTTAGGCTCTTCAACTTTCTGCAAACGCTTGTACCTTTCCAAGAATCTTAAACAGATTCTATATTTTCAGAAGGTTGGAGAGGATAATGACAAAATGTTATAAAACAATCATGTGACATTAATTGAATTCCACTTTTAAAATATTAAATGAGTTTTCCCCACATAATAAATATACTGACATATTTCATTAACTCGTAGTACTACACGATATTATTTTTATGAGTGCATAAATTTATATTCAAATGTAAATGGTTGCTCGAGATAATTTTTTGTTATATTCTAGTCCATTATTTATTAGCTAGTGTTCTCTGGAACATTACAGTTCCACAAGAGGTCACTTGGGATTCCACGAGAAACAACGATAAATAGGCTAATATATTTTTGAGTAATTTTTGTTTAATTTTATATTTGTAATTTTACTAAACACGTACGCCATATTATTCGTAATTTTACTAAACACGTACGCCATATTGTTAGAAAACTCTTGGTTATTATAGTAAAAACTTCGATCTCTTATATTATTTAAAATTATAATTTTTATGCAGGGGGTTCCCTGAGACATGAAAACCATTTCAAGTGTTTCAAATAGGGAATAAGGTTGAGATTTTATAAACATAAATGCAAAGAAAATAGTAATTGAAACAGTAACATTAACAAGGAAACATCCATCATTCATTGTCCAAGTAGCCAGCGCTTTCTTCACACCATGGCCATTGGGCTGGGATTAAAGTGAAGTATCTGTTCTTTCCATCTTTCTTTAATGTTAATATTAGCCGTTTAAAACATTCGGCATTTCCCTCACTCCCTGGCTATCGGACATGTTGATTATGTTATTTTCTCGTCGATTTACATGTGCTATCAATTTTAATTGTTGCTGTTGTTGGAAGTCATGTAGTGATGTGGTTTCTGTTAATGTTAAACCGAATCCTAAACAGGAAACAAGGGATACACCTCCACTCCTGTTCAAAAATACGGGGAAGAGTGGGAGTGGGAAAGAGGATTTGACTAGTCCCACTTCCCCACAAGTCAGTATTTGAAGGACCAAACACAAACATCAGAATTTGACTTCTGACAGGTTAAATAAATGTGAAAATATGTACCCTGTGTGTTGATCTATAAGCTGATTATGCATTGATATCAATTATGTTCTAACGGTCTACGTTATTTTGCATGGCTGAGAAATTTATATATATATATATATATATATATATAACGTCTAACGGCTTGTACAATCTGACCCCTCTTTGTAGGAGAAATCACTGCTTGATATCCTGACGAATAGCGCATTTTCTTTATAGAGATAGACGTTGTACACAATGTTTAAAGAAAAAAAATGGGGCGTCTATTATATATATGAAATAATAAAAAAACAATTAATTCGTGTGTGTGTGTGTATATATATATATATAAGGAAATCAGCCGATTCCGCTACCTAGATTTTCTTTTTATATTTTTTTTTTAATTAATGAATGCTTATTATTTCAAAATAAATAAACGCACGGCATGAAGTGTGGTAGAAGGGGAGGAGAAAGTAAGGGTATTGGAAGTTTTCGAACGGGGGAGGGTAAATCAAATATACATACTTTGAGTTCGTATGAACAAGGATGAAAAAGTATGCACATTTCATTTATACCCCCCCGCGTCTGATTCATTTCCAATCCCCTTGCTTTTCTCCTTCTCCTCTTCTATCATACTTTATGTTGCGCGTTTATATATTTATTTTCAAACTGGTGTAATGAATATGCATACACCTGGGTTCCCTCTCCCTCTCACAGTAATATGATTGGCTGGTGTCAGCCATAAATACAGACTGATGTGGAGGTACAGGGCTACGCCTATAGTCTTCGCTTATTGTTTACCAGTACGACGAGGACCAGTGCATTACGGTTATCTGTTAACTACTGTAACTGGGTAGGACAACCACTTTCTTACTTCGAATAAATATATCTCTTTCCGGGACATATCACAAACTATAAGGCGTTCATTAATTAAAAAAGAAATAAATAAAGTGTTAATATCTCTTTCCGGGACATATCACAAACTATAAGGCGTTCATTAATTAAAAAAGAAATAAATAAAGTGTTAAGACATCAATTGACCGAAATCGCTTGAAGATACGGAAAGGCTGAAACCAAGGCAGCGCAATCGGCTGATTTCCTAAACTTAATAATTTTTCTTTTTTTTTTTATACGTGTATTAAGCACTTTTTAATACTACGGTTTCCTGGTCTAATTCAACTGACCATTAACTTTATATATATATATACACAAGGGTAGTACTAGTACTTTTTTTTCGTTATTATCCGATAATCCATTTAAGTTTCCAGTCTTTTAAAGTTTCTTTCCTTTAATTTCAGATTATGTGTCAGGAACAGCAAGAAGCTACGACCCTTATCCTCAGTAACTATTCTCGGTCGTCTTGTAATCCTGCGACTGGTATGCAGTCCCATATGACACCCCACAGTACCAACGGAGCTTCCACAGGTAAGCACATAATAATCAAATTACAATATATTCAATTTGGTCACCAAACTCTCTTTAATGCTATATATATGTATATATACGCGCACACACATATATATATATATATATATATAGTAATACAGAATCCTTAAAAATCAATCAGGTCGGGTTAAAAATTGATTTCGTGGATCTCACGTTCACCTCTTCAGACCAGTTGTTCATTATTAAATTGAAAAAATGATCTGAAGAGACAATTACCCCATGCTGTTACACCCGATATATATAAAAATTCGTTTATCACCATATTTGTACATGAACGCACAACTGTAAAAAATTTAAAATCAAACTCAGCGTTGCTATTGCACGCTCCAAAAACAATAACTCATTTCCAATAGCATTTTCGGATACAACAATACATATATTTTCGTTGTCCTCTTATTACTAAGAGAAAAAACAAGAACAACATCTATTCTATACCTGAAGATGTCTGTAGGAACAGACGAAAGCTTGTAGTAAATATAAGAACTAATACGGCAGAAATTTATTTTTGTTTTTGTGTGAATAATTCATATATATATGCTTTTGTAAATAATTGAAACAAAACATTTATATATATATTTGTGTGTGTGTGTGTGTGTACACATACATGCGTTGCGGGGGCTGATTCGACTTTCGAGTCTCAAATTCAGATAATTCTCTTTGTCTCTTCCCTACCTAAAGAACTGCCGTTTGCATTGAAATAAACTCATATATAGTGAACAATTATTCATTTATACAAGTTTTGTTTCAATTAATTTACAAAAGGAGATAGATAGATAGGAGGAATCGAGACTTTTATCATACAATCTCAGTTACGGTGGACTGGTCATGTCTTGGGTATCCTGTCATCAGACATTCTCAAGATCCTAATGTACAGCCAGTTAGATCAGGGCTACAGGAATGTAGGACGCCCATGGCTAAGATACAAAGACAAGCTGAAAAGCAACTTGTCAGCAGTCAATATACTTTATAACACCCACGAGCGCTTAGAATGGAGATCAATGTGTTTTAGTGCATTCAGCAGTTTTCAATCTGCTTGTCTGAATGGTTATCAAGAAGCGAGAGCATGATCTAAAAGGTCAGCCAATCTAACAGTTCAGATCCTTATAAACGCCGAAACCGACGGGAGAGTATGTGTGTGTACGAATTGAAAACCGGATATGCACCAAACAATGAAGAATAAATATTTCTTATTTGTGTGTTGAGTTAGGATCCACAAAATGCAGCTTCTTTTTAATATTTTTTTATAAATGAACTTAAAACATTTTATCTCGAGAGCCAATTACAATTTAAAATATTATTATCATTAGTTTAATCATGTGACGTTACGACGTCTTCTATTTATAGCACAGTAAAGATTTCATAGATTTTAGCGTGGTCCGAAAGTCTTGTCATATCCTCCAAACTGCAGGAGCTCGTGTCTGTTATCTTTACATTATGTAGGGGGCGACAAGACTTTTGTACCACCTTGCACATAGAACACTATTTTATTACCACCCATGCTCACCATATATATATATATATATATATATATATATATATATTTCAGAAAAGGTAAAATTGTATATATATCTTAATCCTAAATTTAATCCGACATCACGAGATTAATACAAGTTGCCTTTTGGACACTACAATCATAAGTAATGTCCAAGATGGTGGCTTTCAGCTTCCGGACATTTATTAGTACGATGAACGACTGCTTGGGCAAATTTGGACAAAATGTCAAATGGGATTGCTGCACATGCAATTTTCCATTTCTAGAGTGTCCGTTTTCTGCGATTCATAAAAATCCTTTAGGGTTCTCCATAGGTATAAATCTAAAAACTACGATCTTTCCTAAAGTCTGTATACATTTTGGGGCCGACTCTCTCTCCCCTATATATATATATATATATATATATATATATATATATATATATATATATATATATTATAAATTAATTGATTTAAAATATGGTTATTTTCGCACACAGTTCCAACCATGTTTCAAAAATAGAAGCTAAAAACCCCTAATTTTATTTTTTGCAAATAAATTAAAAGCATTAGTTCCATTTCATCTTCAAGCGAATTTTGGAGTAACTTTTAAAATTTACCGGGTTTTAAATACACAGCTAAAATCACGTTTCCATGGTTACAGAATATTCTACTCAAATTGAACACGGGGTGTCTAGATTTTCCTTATGACAGTATCATTGTATCAGTTATTAGCTACATTTTGGTAAGGGGTGAGGATGTATTTTACACTGAAACCTGACGTCGGTTGAATGGATGTCGCTCTGTAAATTTACACGTCGGTTGAATGGATGTCGCTCTGTAAATTTACATTGAGCACTATTTTGTAAAAATAAAATATCTATAAGAACACCGGATTTTATATCTTACTGTTCTTTCTTTTTATTTATATACATATATATATATATATATATATAATATAAAAGGGTCAGACACTAATATTCCATGGTTATAATTCATTACATTGGAATTGGAATCACGATCCAATTAATCAGACCTACAAATTAAAAAAGAAAACAGAAAATGAATTGGATCGTGATTACGATTCCAATGTAATAAATTATGACCATGGAATATTAGTGTTTGTGCCTTTTATATTATGTTCTTGCTCTCTTGTACATAGAGCTGTGCCTGGATTTTAATAATGCTCATACTAAAATTCTTTTAAAGAAATATATTTTAAAGTCCTTCAAACCTAATCAGAAACTGATTTTAGAAAAAACTTGTTATGCACCCTCACTGGATAATCTACATTCTCTGCCGCTGGGATATTTGTCCTCTAAAAACATAAGTGCGTTTCCCTAATTAAAAAAAAAAAAAAGACCTAACTATTTCAATCGTTAATTCCAAACATGTATTCCCTTCCTTGGTCAGAACAATCATTCACATTAGTTCGTGTAACACAGCCGATTTCATTTTTATGCGAAATAGTTACTGTATTTTAATTAAGTCATTATTCGTTTTTGCATATATTTTTCTTAATGTGTTTTTCTCTATCTGCAGGTCTCATCTCACCAGGGGTATCTGTCCCTATCCAGGTACCCGGCGGAGGTCCCCAGGACATGAGTACTCACCATATGAGTTCTATGGCTTCACAATACTGGCCCCGCCTTCAGTGACAGTGCGCAGACGTCAGCGAAATGGAGACAGAACACTATTACTAATTAACAATTTAATTGATAATGTTGAGGTTAATGAGCAGGCAAAACGGCTCATCATCATCATTTTGGGAACAGTGACAACAACAGTTCAAACAACAACAACACCGATACTAGCTACCAATTTTGCAAGTACTATTTTGAAATGGACGAAGGTTACAGGAGACAGGCAAAGAACTTGGTTACAAAAAAAAGTTAAACGGAAAAATACAGAAAGAAAACAAAAGAAAAAAAACAAACACACACAAACAAAAAAATAATCAAAGAACAAAAAGACACCATATACAAAAAATCGATATTAATTGATTTTTTATGCTGAAAATGGAATTTAATCATTATTATTATTATTTTTGTGTGAGTATACGTGTGCGTGCGTATGTATGCTTGTGTATAGAGATTTTCACGACGATGGTAGTGGTGTTGTCGAAAGAGAAAGACAGTGTAAGCTGGAATTTTTTTTTTTTTAAATGAAAGTAAAGAAAACAAAGTAAAAAAGATGATTTTAATACAGAAGAAAGTGCGTGGGGAATTTTCATTGTCTTAGATTTGGACGATGTCGAAATAAATGAACTCTATAAGAACGAGAATATTTTTTTCTTCTAAAAAGGAAAAAAAAAAACAGGACAAAAAAAAAAAACACGAAATTTAAACATTTAAAATTTCGCGAGAAAATCTAAATGCGAAAAAAAAAAAAATTGACATTGATAAATTTTTTTTTTTTTTTTTTTTGACGCTGGAAAGGTTGGGAAATTACTTTAAATTTAGAAACAAAACAAAAAAAAAAATAAATCTCCCACCTCAACTGAAAATTTAGTATTCTACTTCTTGAAATATTTTATACCCCATGGAGTGTGAGGAGGGTATCTGAAACAAACAAAAAAAAAAAAAAAATGTTCATTTCTCTCCTATTTCAGCGTTAAAAGGAGAAATAATTTGTAATGTACGATTTTCCCAAAGTTTAAAAAAAAAAAAAAAAAAATGATTTTCTTTTACGACTTTTATCCTTACAAAAAAAAAAAAAAAATGAATTAAGTTGACAAAACAAATTAATTTTTTAGTGAAAAAAACAAAAAAAACAAAACAAAAATCAGACAAAAAAAAAAAAAAAAAAAAAAAAAAGAACTTTTCTTTTTAATTTAAACCCACCGCTTCTCTGCGTAATGTGCAGAAAAAAAAAAAGGTCTACTGATTTAGTAAACTAATTTGTATTCTTTAAACAAGAACCGCTCTCTGATAGATATCATTGCTTACGTTCAAAAGCAGGACACAAATAAAAAAAAAGGACTCTTTGTTTTAAATCAATATTACCATCTTGTCCTTCCTAAAACGGCAAAAGTTTACTTACTATAAAAGTCAAGAATTCGTACGCCAAGAAGAAAGAAGCTCTCCTAAAACACTTGATTTCTGTTCCTGTAGATATCCCTAGGTCTTCTAAATGGGTCTTAGTTTAACTTTCATTTATTTCTAATTCTCCGGAAGATTTTTAAGGGTTTCAAATATTTTAGAGATAAATCAACTGGTATTTTGCTTTGTGGTGTAGAAAAAAAAATGTTGAACAGATATCCTCCAAATAAGTGGAGAATGAACGTTGTTAATTACTCGATGCTGGTAAAACTAACTTTAAACTGACAGAACAAAAAAGAAAATAAAAAAAAAGAAGAATCTTAGATGAACGAAAGGGGGGTTATAATATACAAGACAGTGGCTGGGAATTGAAATTTTAAGATCGATACAGAATTTCAGTCGGAATTTCTAGGATGAAGTGTCATCGTTATTGGTTTTTACCACGACGTTTCATCCGTTGTGCACATCGGCCTTCATCAGATGTATGTTGATCCGAGTAACCGACAGGGAATTTCGAAATGAACCATTTATCCCAACTACAGAGGCAGATCTACAGCCTATGTCTAGGGAATACATGTGCTCTCCCACGACATATACAGTGGAAAAGGAGACATCTAAAAGCGTAGATTAAATAAAGGATTCAAGTTCGAAATTCCGTGTTGGTTGCCGGGATTGGTAATACACCTGATGAAGTCCTGAAGGCACACCTTCCGAAACGTTGTGATAACAAACATAAGGAGAAGACTCCGTATGTGCATCAAGTAAATGACCATATTAGAATAAGCAATGCTTGTAAAGCAACATCCCACAATTAAAAAAAAAGAAAGGATTGTACAATACATGAGTAAAAATTACAAAAATTTTACGAGCAGAGCTCCTGCCATAAAACACTCAATAGATAATTTACTGAATATTATATCTCTAGGTAAGAAAAGCTTAAATGAATTATCTGGTTAGCCGGCTTAAGTGTTTATCGTCGAAATGCTCATCAGGGCCAGATATTTGTTACATTTGCGTTGGCTAACCACCTGGCACTGAATTTTTCTTCATTTAAATTTCTAATTCCGACATGACCTCAGTCTATACCGGGGTTGAATAAGACTGACAATACATTTTCGTCAGTTGAAATAAGCTTATTCCCCATATGACATGATTTGGGATTTTATTGTGTATTAATTTCTGCTCTGTAATAATAAATACATTGAGCTCTTTTTGTGGATCAGTTTTAATATTTTATATTACTAGGATCCACTTGGATTATATACCAATGGATTTATTACCTTTACTATATATATATATATGTATGTGTTGGCTGAAGATTGAAAGAAAGGCTGTTGCCGATTGGTGTCAACCTCAGCGTCCAATTCTATATTTACATACGCTGTTTCTCTGATATTGAGCAATTTCAGCCATAAATATAGCGTACATTAAAACTATATAAGACAATGGTTAAGAATGTCGTAAACCATTGTCATTGAAGTGAGTTAAAACCCCTATTGGCTGGTTCAAATTTCTGAACATAAAGTCTGATATCGGATATGTTTTGAAGCAGGTATCAACGAGTTTCTAGGACTCATGAATACACTTAGCCTCGTTTGGCTTTGTAACGTACGTAATTTAGCTTGCAGAACATGACTACCATAGTGAGTTTGCTCCGCACTGGCTACACCATTTTCGTGTCAGGCTAAACTGACGCTTAAAACAAATGATTATCTTATTGATGTAAAGCCGAGCCTAGGTCAGAACTATGGAATGCAAAGAAAAAATTGGAATCTTTCAAGAACTTTTGCCCTATTCGATGAATGACTCCGATTACAAGTCAGATAAATAAGTAATACTTGTAACAGAATGAGAGCCCAGTGTATTTTCCCAATCAGTGCTAGAGAGCGGTGTTCGAGCCCGGGTAAATACCTGTAATTTCAACGCTGATTTTTTTTAAGCTGCCAACGTGGAACTTACCTTCCCCATTTGGTTCAAAGAAAAAAAAAAAAAAAAAAGAATGCCTCTAGGCCCATAAATGCAAGCGGTGTTCGACGAATTTGAGATTAAGCGGCTAATATTTGACGGAATATAGATTATGGCATATACGCATTGTTTCATTTATTTTTATTTTTTTTTAAACTCTTCAATGAGTGGGGGAAGTAAACATTTTTGTTAGACGAAAAGTTTCCAAGAAATATTCAATTGCATAAAAAAACAAAAAAAGAAACAAAAAAAAAGAAAAAAAACAACAAAAAAAATATTCGTTTTCATTTTTTTTCTTTCAAAACATTTGGTTGTTTCCAAAACAACTTAAAGACAATTTACACGGTATGTGTACATACAAGCACACAGGGACACGTCAGCATGCTCGTCGCGCAGGGAATTTGCACATTTAGCGAATCCGAACATCATTCTGTGCCCAACTATGATCGGATAACTCCAAGTCTCGTTGCTTATATATAGTGAAATGCTGAGTCACCTGGAAGATAGTGTTACGCCAATGTGTCACACTATGCTAAAATTAATAAATATCTATATGTGTGTAGGTATGTATGTATACATACATATATATGTATGTTTATAATTTTTTTTGTTCAATAAAAGTAACCAATAATTCAAAATTGAAGGATTTTGAAGAATTGTATGAGGAAATATGGTTCTTTACTTTTATTTTTCATTAAATGAGGTATTGTCATGTATTGATATTCTCTGAGATTGGCCAGAAAGTCCTAACTCGCTTAGGAAGAGAAAGAAAACTAAAAGATTTATTCTTCAAAATAAAGTCCATCATTTTCGACGATCTGTCAGTGATCACCCATTATCTTAATGTGTACCAGATCCCAGTCCGCTGGCTTTGAATAAAAAAAAAAATGTATACAAGCTTCCTTCACTATATCAAAAGTGTTGAATCGCTGGTCGCGGAGGAAGTGCGACATTGAACGGAATAGACCATAGTCATTTGGAGCAGCATCAGGACCGAATGGTGGAAGAATCTCAAAACCGTCCATCTGTTTGAAAACTTCTCCTTGGTCAACCTGGCGTGTGTGGTCTCGCATTGTATTGTAAACAAAAGTCCAATCTGGAATGACCAAATCAAGACCTCCTTTAATTTGTCGTACACTTAGTCTAGTTGCTGTTAATACATTTTGGCGTTCAGGACGCGACCGTGTGGAACAAACTCGAAATACAGAATAATAGATTTGTTGTTCTTTTCTCTCTTCCTAAGGTAATCAGGACCTTCTGGTCAACCTAAAGTATGTTGTGTATTTGAGTAACAATACCTTGTTTATACAAGTTTCGTTAAAGACGATGGACAAGGTACTGCTATAATGTTTGAATGTATTTTTACCGTGTTCGTACAAGTGTTTGCTTTTCTTTACACTGCGTGTATAAAAATTGTCCAACAGATTTACATATCAGTCTAATCTTTTAGCCATTGTTAAGGACGGTTTTATTTTTATTTTTTTCATGTGTCAAAGGTTACAGGGATCTCTTCGATATATTGAGCTCACTTCATGGATCTATACATATCTATTTATGCCTTCTAATTTGAAATGATATTTTCAATTTGTTCCGCGTCAATTTCCATCGGGTATTTACACGTGCGTATTCATAAATTGAACATTAACTATATA